AATTAAACAATTTTTTTTAGTTTTTTGTTTGTTTGTTTGTTTAAAAAGTGTAATGGAGAGCTTATTACATTTCTAAATTAGAAACTGAAAGCTGAGTGAACTGTCTGCAAGTGTGAAGAACAATTAAGCAGCACAGTTGAGCTAGCAGTTTTAGTAAAAAACCTGGCTTCTACTCACTCTCCCATTGGTGTAGGCCTCAAAGGTTTAAGATGAAACAAGCCTACGGTAAAGCAGTTCCAAAAGAGAAGGAGAAAAAATCTGGAATTACCCCTCTGCCAATGAGGACTAACAAAGGCTGCCTCAATTTGTTGGATGAAACTGGAACCCAAGTGGTATCTAAAATGGCTGCTAACAGCAGGGACGGGAGAGAAATCCAGACAAGAAAGTGAAGAACAGAAAACTTCCTTCAGGAATGAGCAGCAGAGGAGAAAGAATACAGCAAATCTTCTTCCCACTGAAGAGGTGGATTATTGCTGCTGATGGCTAAACATAGAAGCGCCGCAGTAAAAGGGAGGCGAGCAACAGGCCTGAAAGCAGTGATCAGACTGCTCAGTTTTTATATTTCTAAAGGTTTTTATATTATATCCACTCAGGCATCAATCACAACTTTATTAATCCACGAAACAGATGTCAGATCAATGGCTGTATCGGAAACACTTTGAATGACAGGCTGATGATGGAACAATTCCAGCCTCCATACATTATTAAACACATACTAATGCTGCTTTTTCAATGCTACCCTTACAGACTCACTCACTCTATTCTCTCTCTATGGTACCTTTTTTAATAGCAGACCTAATTGTAGATGAATATTACATAGGAAAAACAAGACTTACTGTAATAAATACTAATAAACTAGTAAACAAAAGAAAAATTTCAAGGTTAAAACCAGTTGTCTGTCTTCACATTATGCCTCCTGGCATTAAAATTTCATTTTAATACAATTGTAGGAGCTGAGGCTGGGTTGTCAGCCTTAATCAGAATATTCAGAGTTATCGCCTTTTTGCTGTAATCTTGTCATAATTTAAGCTTAGGCTTTCTTTACATATTTGCCCACAGCCAGCGCACCCATTTACATGCTTTTTGCTCTTTTTGAGTGAAGAGGTAGGTATGAAAAATACATATAAATATGGCAGAAATCGCCCCTCTGGCAGATTCTCTGCTTAACTCCAGACTTCAGGCAGATTTGGGGAGGTGATCAGAGCAGCACACTTGCCTCTCAATTCATCAGTAACGTAAACTGTATTTTCACTGGCAGAAATCAATTTGATTTTCATAAAGGCAGAAAGGAATTATATTCTTGGTGGATTAAGCACAAAGCACAGTAACTGGGAGATGCAAATGCTGTATGAAATTCTCTCATAGCACATGAACACGGGGTTGAGTTACCACAAACTGCAGACCATTACCTCCTCTCTTCCCCCCGTGCCCTATACTGTCCTTTGGGATAGAATATATGCGGCAGCTGTATGTTTTTGTGAGGTGGGCAGTGAGACCAAGTAAAGATGGATTTGCAGCTTTTCACTTGGCCTGGCATCCTGATAGCCTTAGTGCATCCTCCTGTGTGCAGGAGGAGTGCTTATTATAGCAGAGATGTCTGATTTTATGCAGACAATTCAATAATAGATAAGAAATAAAAATGTTAAAAAAGATAATAAAATAAAATTAAATATGCATTCTTTGGCGGTTTTGGAGAGAAAGAAAACTTCTTGTTCCTATTCATGGCAAATGGTGGCATAAACAAAATTCTTTGTGCTTTTTGGGGCCAGCAACTGAAGGCTTCCCATAGCACAAGGGGAAGGCAGCTGGCTGTGAGTGGGGCTGTAAGAAAACTGCTCTGTTTTGGCTGCTGAATTGGATGCTCCCAGGTAGAAGTGAGCAGCCCCACCAGATTTTAGCCAGAAATGGCTAAATGGCTAATGGCTAAATGGCCACCAGCCCTGGCCTGGTGACTAAATAATCAAGTGCACGCAGGAATGGAGGCAGCTGCCCCCCGAATTCCCGTGGGGCTTAATATGTGCTTAAAGGCTGAGAGATCAAAACTCAAATTCAATTTTTGGTGTCAAGGCAGGAATTAGCAGAAGCTGCTCTTACTCACGAAATACACGTCACTGAAGGGCTAAAGAGTGAAGGGTCTCCCCTCTGGAACAGCTCTAGTTTGGACAGAGTATTTTAGTCTTTTAGAGAGCATCAATAGGCAGAGTAATTCCCACAAGATATGATGCATGCTAAGGCCTTTACGCTATTTCTCTAGCTTGCTTGCTAGAGAACAGATTTTCTGTTGAAGCAACATTTTAGAAACCCAGCATTCATCCTGAATTGGGCAAGTTTGGAAGTGGGTTTGAAGTCAACTCTCACTTAAGTGACCACAGAGGTCTGTTTTGGCTGAAAAATATGTTATGTTAATTAGCAAAATGGTTTATCTAAGGAAGTGAATGTATGAAAGCCTTTTAATAAAAACTACTTTGCATACTGCAAGCTTTTAAATTAAATTGGGACAGAGTTACAGCCGATGCTGAGCAGAATGGTTTGTGACTTTTTGGCTTGTTCGCTTAAAAATATCTGGCTGGTTTCTTGAAAGATAGCTGGTGGCTCTTTATGGCACCCTGTTGCACAGTTTTAAGGAGAAAATTTAAAAATATGTTCATAACAGAAATGTATAGTTTATGTCTTATATCTTCCGTAAAACTTAGTCCTGCTGAGGTAGTCACAGCAGCATGTTTTGGACTTGGCTCAATTCGTCATGGCTTTATGCTCTGAATGCTCCTCTCTCTGGACTGAAATTCAGACTTCAGAGTAAATGAAGTAAAAATATCTCTAAATAAATCATATCTCTAAATAGGTTGTCCATTTTCCCCACATTTTTTTCTGTAACAGAACATGTTAGGAAGATTCAATTTCAAGTGAGGATGGATACAGCCAATAAAACTGCTACTGGCAGCCCAAATCCTAAAGTCCTCCCTTTAATTCCTGACAGGAGGAATTCCTGATGACCTCCATGATTATCCTGCTTGCATGAGGACTTTAACTGAATATGGTGCTGATGGTGTTTTTACCAAAGAGAAATCCTGTATGCGATAAAATAGTGTCATTTAAGATATATGAAAAGCCTATGGATATTTTAACACCCATCAATCATTTACTCTTTCTTGCTCTTTAAGTTTTCTGCAAATGAGTTAGGAGTTTTAAAGATAGTAAACATAAACCTATATGGTATACCTCTGAAGTTATCAGGGAATGCTGTGACCTTGAAAGATAAGACTGTGTAAAGAGCTAGGAAAAGGAAGGAAAGATTTTCTTTACTTTCAGTTGCAGTAAAATAAATACAGGATTTTATTATCACCCACTAGATCACCCATTGCCTTTCAGACTCCTTTCCCTGCCTCCCCAAATGGATTTGTTACTACAGATTTGTTACTATAAGCATTGTAAGAGTGGTCTCAAGTTCAAGAGAACATTAGCTGGGAATTTTCTAGTTTGCATTAAGATTGTGAGAAAATGAGCACAGAAGACAACGTCTGTAAGAGTCATGGAAATGAAAATGACAGACAGACGGAAAAATCCATAGGAGCTGCCCAGCAGCACAACCGGAATTCATTTTCCATTTCCTTGCCTTAATTTTTAAACACACTTTTGAATCACAATAATTACACATGCAGAAATTCTCACTAGTCCTTCAGTTTCAACTCTTCAGAGGGGAAAAATGCTGTTATTAACTTTGAGATCTAATTCCTACTTCTTTTGATTGTTGAATGAAACATTTAAAATAACAGGAATAAACAATGAACTACCATATTCGAGTTTCCTCACAAATAAATGCAGAAGTCTCATATCTCAATAAAGTTATTTTTAAAGAGGGAAAAGACACTACAGTTAGAATTAAATTCAACAGATAAGAAAAAAGGAGAGGAAGAGAAGAGAGGAGGAAGAGAAGACCCAATACAGTGAGTTAAATAACTTTGTAAGGATGTAACTTTATTCAGTACATTATTCAATTAAAAAAGAAAAAAAAACCAACCAAAATTGGAAAACTGTTCCTATAGATTAGTATCAAGTAGTACAGTGGTGAAACAGAAAAAAATTTTGTAAAGGCATAATAGATCTTTCATGTAATTATTATGTAAAGCACGTGTCTGCTAAAGACATACAAGTGTAATGTTTATGCCTGCATTTTTGTAAAAATATACACGTACATGCAGTGTGCACACGTTCACATATCAAACCACCATATATTGTGTGTAGGTTGTTGTAGTTTAGGAACATTTCAGAGAGTTTTCATAATACCTATTAACAGTATTTTTTGCCTTTCTCTGACTCTGGGAATTGAGTCTAACTTACACAGCTTAAAGAGAAAATAATTGTTGAAATGTCCATGTTTAAATATAAGATACTGGAAACACAGCTGACCTTGACCCAAAATCACATTTCTGAGCCTGGAGCAAACTATGTACGGCTGGCTGCTATGGGTTAGAAGTGAGTATTGGATCCTATCACGAAGCCAGAACTCCCATTTCCCAGTGGTATAAAACTTTCTAGACTGAGAAGCAAACAATCTCTGATTAAAAACCAAATTGATAGAGGAGTACTTCCATATTCACATGAGTACAGAGAATTCCTGCTAAGTACAGAGCAGGTTTTGTTGACCTACTGTTTTACTACTCATACGTCTTTGTCAGTTCTGTTCTGTAATACCTAATGCTGACTGTATGAAGGTTTTAGAAACATATCTGTGGATACATGTTTGCGTGATGTAGCGATATAAGGGTATTGTTTGTGTAGTACATCATGTTTAGGTCATGATGAAAGGCACTTTGATATGTTTGCCCGGACAGGGCCAGACATCTCTGGACATGGAGAAAAAACAAAGTAAGCCATAGCAATGTTAAACTGCAAAAAGGTGAAGCACTGAAAACCCAAGAGCAATAAATTACCTTGAGAAACTCAGTAAGCAATAAACGTTTTGCAATATAAAAAGTAAATAATATAACCTATGATCTTACCGTTCCTGTTGTGCCCAAGGAAAGGTGGTTCATCTGTTGGGTCAGAGGGCCCATCATGCTCGCTGGCTGCATTGACATAGTGTGGTCCATTGTTGGTGTTATCACAGCACCCTACAAACATACACCATTTACACGTCACCATTTCACTTTAAAAAAAAAAGCAGCATTCTCTAAATGAGTGAACGTGGTTGCAAACTTGACATGAAACTTAAAAGAGACTAATATATCTGTCAGAGGAAATATGTTTTGTTCCTATTGACAACCAAGCTACACACATATATTATTTGTACTACTAATGAGGCCATTTTATGTCACTTTCAATTAAGTGTCATTTTTTACTTCATTGCTTCTGACAAACAAATGCATATGTCTTTCTATGATGAATACTACTGTGTATTGCAAAATACCTGTCATTTCTATTTTTCCATATCCTATGTAGAATAATCTTACAGAGAGAACACATATGTCCCCAATTTTCTGACTTCCAAAACCTTCAGTCTCTGAGATCTTCAACCTATTATGGTAATTCTCTTGGATTTTTCCAGTCTCAATTAAGAACCCTTACTCATGACGTTTTGCAACTGATTAAGTAAGACTAGCTATTGACAGTAAGTTTGGCAGTGACACCCATTTAAAACACATACACAGCATTTAAAAGCATTTTTCTTCTCCATGAAAAACAAAGACATTAATAACAAAGAGCATATGAACTAAAGCAAGAACAAGACTTTGAACAAAAATGAAACAAAAGACATGCCAGAGGAGCTTTGGAGAAAGCTTCTTTGCCATTCATATTCCTTGATTTTTTGCTCTCCCACTCCCCAAGGTGCCATGTTGGTAACCTCATGCCTTAGTGAAGTGTTGGTTCTCTTCAGTTCTATGGTGTAAAATGCTACTTCCTGTGTTGGTTAGAGAAAGTCAGTTAGAAACAGAGTGGGCTGCTCTTTCTCTTGCAGATAGTTAAATAAGGAGGTATTTCTAGCTATTTCTTCATACGAAAAAATAGCTCTACTTTGTGCATATGTATGTTTGTGTGCACACATTATAAATATGCACAATTACATTACATCTGCTACAAAGTGTGGAAAATGTGGAAGAATCTATTTGTTGAAAAAAAAAAAGGAAAACTGACGTTTTTTCCACCTATAAAGAGGAATTTAAAATAAACTAGTTCTGAAACCCACAGCACACCTGTTCTTAAGTGTGTCTCACATTTACGTAGAGCTATGTGACTGCATTCTCAAGAATCTGATTAGAAGCAAAAGATGTCAAATTTTCAGTCGCAAATAAAAACTAAACAAACGTAAAAAATGCAGGGAAGTACCAATTCAATTTTTTCTCACCTTCCAGCAATATTTTGTCTATGCACATCCTTTCTGAGAAGCTGCAGTTCTGCAGTCTCTGTGAACTCATTACTTGCATGCAATGATAAAGAGGAGGCAGGCTCGGCTTGGTCAGTCCTTTTTGTAATACACTCAGCATATGAAATACGCACGCGCTTGTTTTATGTCACATAGTGGATTACGTTTCCTGCACTGACAAGAGTCTCTAGAGAAATTTGCCAAATTACAGAAACTAGCCTCCACAGAATATCTGTCGTGATTCCAAATAAATGCTTATAAAACGAACTGATCAGAGTGCAAGTATCAAACCTGCCACACTTGCGTACACTTTTGCCTCTTTCTTGGCTATATTAATTTGCACTGGTTTACATAGATTAACCCATTGATTAACTTATTCCAATGAACTACCAGAGTGCTAACCTTCTTGTTGGCACGGGTCCTTACAAATCAAGATAGTCACAAATTTTTCACCACAAAATTTCTTTCAAATTCCTTTCAGCATAGTAGAGTTAATATTTTATTCAAAAAGCCCTTCTTTCTTCCTTGCATGACATTCTTCTCTTTCATGCTGCTCCTCTGTTTTTGCTGAAAAAAAATCTACCCTGTTGCTGAAAGAGTCTGAAAGCAAATCTGCGGGGCATACACTCATCAGCCCATTCGGTAGTCCCTGCATAATGGGGTGCATTGATTCAGTGCAAGAATCTGAAGTAGCACCATGCCCAAGGAAAATGAAATTCTTGCTGTATGTTGAAAATCAGTGGCCTGGGACACTGGGGCTGCTCCTGTAGAGCAGCATGCAGCCGGACGGGGTCTTGGGGTTTGGACATCCACCTACACTCTTTGGTTATGGTAAGAAATCATAAGCTTTATGCTCAGAATGATCCACACCACATACCAGCATTTTTACTGTACCAAACCATAAACACTCAAACCAAATTTGTCAACTGATAAACAGCTCTCAGTTTCCTCTATGAGCAGTTTTCTCCTTTGGCTTAGAGATGGACAATTGCCTTAGGGCCTTCTGTGACAGACAAGGTGAGCTCCTACTTGTGATGCGTGACGGGGTAAGCAGAAAGTCACACCCGCACTACAGCTTCATGTAGCCCCGCACTCCCGGCAGTAGTGGCTGCAATTAATTTAGGATGTCCCAAAGCCTTAAGATACCTAGCTTTCTTTGCAAAGATGTTTATTGCAAAGGTATGGTTGGAGGAACTTGCTGTGATTACAGATGTGACAGACTGATAGCTATTCCTGTGTATAAATTCAGGAACCTGGAAATGAAGAAAGGGGAGCGGTGAAGGAAGTCTTATGATTTAGTGTAGCAAACGCAAGTGCCAGACACACAGTGGAAAAATCTGATAGCAAATGTCTTTCAGTAAATAAGTAAGCAAGACAGTTTTGCAAATAAACTATTTAAAAAAAATACGGCTGGAAAGAAAATATACCAAGGACAAAAAAATTGCTCAGAGACAGTAAACATATTATTTTTAAATAGAAAATACATATATTCTAGTCCCTAAACATACACCGTTTAATATGTTAGGAAAAGAAGTTGGGAAAACAAATCAAGTAGTTGCAGCTTTCCTAAGACAGCTTAACGCGTTTGAAGCTGACAGTTACCTAGAGCAGCGAATTACATGCATTTGCCAGACCATTAATTCACCAGAGTTTGCAGAATCCTCTTGTGATCACGTAGGGAAAAAATTATACTTAATTAAGGAAATATCGTCTGGTTGTTAGGGCGACACCCAGCCTCCAGACCATAATGTGTTTCATAATACATGCTGTCAAGTCCATTCACATTCAACTTATTTAGCTGTAGAAGACAACCATGTCTTGCATCAGATGTTGCCACCATATTAAAAGTAATTTGATTCTTTTCAGCCTGTAATAGGTATTTGCTGATAAACATCCACTTGGCGACTGGCAAAGGCTACAGCAAACGTATTTTTCACCTTCATCTGTTTGGATGTCTGATTTTAGTGAGTTTGTAAACTGTACAGAGAGACATCTTAGGATGGATACTACTACTGAAGGCTCAGCTTTGTTGAAAAAACCTGTAGGAGAAATTATGATGAGGTTTTTGCCACTGTCTTTGCCAAAACAAGTAGTTGGCCTGCCAATTATTTAGGTCTGCCCTGTTGCCTCAGTATGATTAATTTTTTTATAATTCCTGCAAGAAACTGGTTACTATAATGACTTTTAAATTTGGCAAGATATTCTTGGCATATGACTTGTCATAGGATTTTGTCGATGCTATAGTAGCTTTAAAATAAACTAACAGGGCAAATGGTAAGGAATCAATGATACAGAAGAAAATGCACAATTTTTGCAACACCGCAATAAACCCAAGATAAGTTCATTGACATACAGACTTTAATTCCTCTTCACTTTATTTGAAAGTCCTCACTGTTTTAAAATGCTCTAAGCTCTACGGACATACCTTTCATATAAGAAAGTGAATATATTTATTTCTGAATATTTTCTAGTCTATCACTTGCAAAGAAAGAAGCTTGACTTTATCAGCTACAAACACTGTACACTCCCTGTATGGCAACAAGCTGAAATCACAGGAAGGACACTAAATACAGCCTGTTTATTATATTAAGTAAACCATCTTTAAGTATTTGCCAATACCAAAAGGCATCAGCAGAAATGAAGCTTATGTTAGTGCGATGACACATGCCACCTTATGTACCTTGAAGGGTGGGAAAGTGACACCAGAAATAAAAAGTGTATTAAGGGGCTTTAGGAACAGAGAGTTCACTAGTTGAGAGATGCAGTTGGGGGCCAGCGGGAGGAAGGATTAGTTAGTCCCAGGTTCTAGAATAATGGACTGTATTAAAGGCTTCTGTTTTATTCCAGTGTTCTAATACTGATATTGGACTTAAGGCACAAATCCCAGCTGAATAAATAGTTTTTAAAGCTTACAGTAAGCATCTGCTTATTTCACAGTTTACTTTTTCTTTATTTAGGAAGTTTTAACAAGTTAAGCATGCTTAACCAATTCTACTTTGTAAATACTGGCCAATGTAAAGCCAATAAACATTACAGCAGCAAACTTACTTTTCGAATTTGTTTACAGACACATTGTGCAGTCATATAAGCACCAGGTCATTCCATCTGAAAAGTTATTACCATACTACCAAGTGAATGTCTTTATGTTATCGAGAACATGTTGTTTCTTGAGGTTTTATTAAACTGAGTGAAAGGATGACTTTCCTTATACTTATCAGACCAGACGTTTCTATCAAGAATTAATATGAAAAAACCCAACATGCATACTTTTTTGCAGATAAATGTACTCTCTCTGCATACTGAATAAATGACGATCATATTTCTATTGGTTTACTGTTCTGTCTAGATTGACTTGTCTCATCTTCTTGGGCTGCCTCTTGCAGGCAGCAGCAAAAATAGGGTCCCCTTGTCAGAGCAGTGAGCCTGGTGAAGTGCTCTGAACTGGCTGTTAAGTGGCCAACCTTTCACAACTGTAGTAGGAAGACTAAAGGTAGCTGTGAAGTCCTCTCTGCCCTCTGTCAGCAACTCTGCTGGGGATACTTGTTGGTATTCCATAAAAAACGATTATATTTCATAATCAAAGAAAACCTATTTTCCCTTTCTCAATGAAAAGTTACCAATTGCCTTGGCATTTACTAGCTGATCAGAGATTAAATCATGATTTGATTATGTTGAGGAAGATCAGCAGACATCAGCTAGTAATGTATATTCTACAAATCTTAGAATTTGGTTTCATTTCATTACATTGTT